TTATTAATCTTTTTTATTTCATTTTTAAAATTATTTTTATTGCATGAGGTTCATTCTTTTTTAATTGATGAATAGTACCCCATTGTATGAATATACCATAGTTTGTTTATCCAGTCACCCTGTTGATGAATATTTGGATTATTTCTTGTTTTGGGTACTATGAATGAAGCTGCTAGGAACATTCCTGTTTAAATTATTTTGTGAGAATATATTTTCTTTTTTTTAGGCAGTAGGGATACAAGAATAGAATTCCTGGTCATAGATTAGATATATATACTTCATGGGAAGCTGCCAAATAGTTCTCCAAAGTAGTTCTGCTATTTTTGTATGAATACCAGCAGTATATGTATGGGAGTTCCAGTTGCTTTATATCCCCACCAACATTTGGTACTGTCAGTTTTCAGAAAATTATTAAATTTGAATATGTTTGTGAAGTGGTATCTCATTATGGTTTTAATTTTTCATATTAAGGAGGGATGATTTGAATCTGACATCTGAAGGATGAGAAGTAGACCAGGCAAACAGGATGGGGGTTGAGCATTCCAGGCAAAGAGAACAGAATGTACAAAGGCTCTAAGGGAGCAGAACAATCATAAAGAACAGAAAAGGAGTGGGGTGTAGGGTGAGGCTGGTGAGGGGAGTGATGGGAAGTATCAAACCATTCACTTTCAAGGGATCATGTGGGTCTGGGCCATGCAGACACCAGCAGTGAGTGACCAGAGTGAACTTCAAGAAAAAAAAATTCACACCAAAAAACTCAGTAATGTCCTAGACTGCATAAATCCCTAGGAATTTCCTATTATTCTGGGAAGTACAGAGGGAGGCTCATTATGACCAAAATTGAATTTCTTGTCTTCTTGGCAGAAAGGTGCTCAGAATGGATTAAATTTCATTCAAAGGAGGGAAAGAAATGAGCATTTCTTGCATGTGACCATTGCAGTTGCAAATTCATGCTTACTTCAAATGAAAGAGTAGGATTTCTGGGTGGTGTTGAGTATGCATTTGAGGTTTGAGACCATGAATTTAAAATGATGTCATTCTCTATATGATTTTTTTTTCAGGCGACATTCAGCTGCTCAAGCACATGGTGTGAAACCTCATCTCAGAGTGTAGTGCTTAGCCAGGTTGTGGTTTTTCTAGGAAAGAATGTTGGAGATAAAGGTGAGTAAGGAAACAATTATAATGATGAATCTTGGGCTCTAAACTGGACCAGAAGGGAAGTGAAGAATAGACAACAAGAATTTGTGGGATTAAAGGATTAGTGGTCTCAATGAGATTGAAGAATGACAGCAAATGAGGTCCTAGAACATGGAACTGAAAAGAGAGTAAATGGAAAGTGAGATCTATTATATTTTTATATTCCAAAGATGGAGCCTTTTATGGATGATTAAAATGTTGAGGGTGTAACCTTGGAAGTGGTAGCTCAGTTGAGGTGGCTTTTGGAGATAAGAGACCCCAAGGTATTGACTAGATCATAAACATGAATACTGAACTCACCTGGAGTTCAATGATGGTGCTAACAGTTGGAAGGAGCAGGGGAAAAATTACTTTGGTGGGTCAGAAGATGACAGCAATCAAGATGGGCAGGGTGGTATATCTGAATGGAAAGAGCAAATCTTTGCAGAGAAAGGAGTAGGGAAACCATAAAGAAGTTCAATGTCAAACTCTATTAACACTGGCATCCTTCCAAAGACAATGAACCACACCAAAACCAAATCAACCAACCAACCAACCAAACCAGGAAAGCTTTTCAACTGGGAATGCTCTATCTTGCCACTAAGAGGCACTATCAATACTGGAAAACCAGATCTCCAAGCAGTCCCTGGGTTGGAAAGATCCCCTGGAGAAGGGAAAGGCTAGCCACTCCAGTATTTTTGGCGTAGAGAATTCCATGGACTGTGGTCCATGGGGTCACGAAGAGTCAGACACGACTGAGCGACTTTCACTTCACTTCACGTCACTTCAAGCAGTCCCTAGAGGCCAGGAAAATGTGTTTTAGCCTGAGCACTGAGGACCTCTAAGTCTCTTATGAGATACTACAAGGAATTCAGCCACCCTCCCACACACCTGCACATACCTGTAAAGAGAATGTTTACGTGTAATACAAAGCTTAAAAAAGAGGGAAAAGTTAAATTCCTTGTTGTTCAGTAGCTCAGCTGTATCCAATTCTTTGTAACCCCACAGACTTCAGCATGCCAGGCTTCCCTGGCATAGTCCTTCACTATCTCTCGGAATGTGCTCAGACTCATGTCCATCGAGTCGGTGATGCCATCCAACATCTCATCCTTTCTTGCCCTCTTCTCCTCCTGTCCTCCATCTTTCCCCAAATCAGAGTCTTTTCTAATGAGTCAGCTCTTTGCATCAGGTACCCAAAGTATTGGAGCTTCAGCTTCAGCATCAGTCCTAGGTTCCTTTAAAAAAGGTACTGAGTTATAAGATTTTTTTTTTTCCCCCTAAAAGGAGGTCTGAAAGTACAGCTACTATCATGGGATTTGACGACATTTTCTTCTAGGTAAAAAGATTCCTCATAACTGCAGGTTTTTAGAGTTGATGGTAACACTGTACTTAAAAATTTTCTTCCTGAATCACTTTTTGTAAGAAGCATGACACAGTAGGAAGAGCACAGGGCTGGAGTTAAAATTGTAGCAGCAGCAGCAATAATATTTATCATTATCACCAACATTTGAGTGTTTACATGAACCAGAAACCGATCTAAACATTGTACATAAATTTAGTCATTTACTGCTCTTAAATCATATGAATTAAGTATGTATTAATACTATTGTTAACATCATTTAACAGAAAAATAGGATCCAGAGGGACAGGTCACTTGTCCAAGCCACAGTTAATAGATGGTGGTGGTAGTAGGGGGGTGGACTTGTTTTCCCTAACCAGCATAATCCAAGTTATGCAAGAGAAAACACCTCTGAATCTCAGTAGCTTAAGTCAATAGGAACTATCAGTTTGGCAGAAGGTCTGGGCTTTTCATGCTAACTTAGGAACCCAGGCTGACATAAGCTTCATTTTTGACACATGCCAGTGATCAATATCACTGATCTCCGTGCAGGGAAGAGAGTATGCTCTGGTGTCTTCAACTGAAAAGAAATTCTTCTGCTTAAAAATGATGCATGTCACTTTCACTGGCCTGGTGGAAGCAAATCACATGCCATTCCCTGCTTCAAGAGGGAAAGGAAAGGCACCCCTGCTGTGTCCCTAGGAGACAAACCAGATTTTTTGGGCAGTAATGATCACCAAAACCATTCAGATCCTGGGTAATTTATGCCTCTCTCAGCCTCAATGTCCCAACCCACTAAATGAGCACCATTATTTTGTAAGGATTCCTTGTTGTAAGTCTCCTCATCGGATGCAGATTTTGATGATGAGGCAGGATAGTTGCATACCATCAAAACTCTCATCAGTTGAAAATCATGGTCTTACCAGGAGCCCTGTAGCCCTCCATCCAAAGCTGTTTGCACAATGGCCTTTGTCCAAAGACACACGCCAAGCTTTTTATCACTCACTCACCTGAGGTCTTGAAGGATAATGCTTCATTTCAGTCAACAATACACCATAGCTGTAGCTTGCTAGAAAGCTCAGGCTGGAACCACCAGGTGTCTGGTTCACAATGAAAGCTTGAAACCACTTTGGCTTGAGTGAAGGTCACGGTGAATGCTCCTTCTTCCAGATTTTTCAACTTTTCACTTCAAATTGAGTCAGGTCGCCAGGACTGCTTACTTGGCCCCTCTTAGTTTCATTCCACAGACATTCCCTCGGATGTCTGCTCTGAGTCAGTGATGAGCTAAGACCCAGAAACTCCTTTAGCAACCAAGAACTGATGATGCTCTGGTTGTACCAAAAATACCCTTAAAAAGGGCATTCCCCAAACTTCCATGCAAACAGTAGTGACACTGCCAGAGCACCCAGCTGGCTCCTTTCCAGTGGGTGTGCAGTCATTTGTCCTCTTCCTCGCTCTTCTAATAAGCTAGGTTGTGAACTTCGTGATAGTAGGGACCACTTTTCCACGTAGGTTTCACATCGAATGTGAAAAGCCGGCACACAGTAAGTACTCAATAAATGTTTGCTGCACAAAAATACTTATGAAGATTTTTCGAATAGTTAATACATGTTGACTTCCTTGTAGAATTTAGTGCCCAAACTATCTAACGAGCAATTAGTCTAGTTGATTTTCAGGCCTGAGATTCTAGGTAGTTAAAATAAGGCCAAAATGGGGGCGGGGGACTAGAAGGGCGAGGAAAAGGAGGACATTTCACACAGAGGGAAATGTAGAAACAGTGAAGCACAAGGTAGTATCAGGCACGGGGAGTGCGCCATTTAGCCTAGAAGGTTAATACAGGGGGTTAAAGTGGGAGGTTGAAGCCAGATGCCAGGAGTGGGTCTAAGGTTAAAGTCCAGAAGGAAGAAATAATAGAAGTTTGATAGGGAACAGTAAGAGTAAGGCTTAAAAGAGTCGGTGGTGCATTAAGTTTTGCAGCCAAGAGCTCCAACTAATGAAAGGCAGGATGGGCGGAGGAAATATACTCTCAAAGCTTCCTCTTATTTATGGGAGCTCCGACTTCACAGAGGAATCAGCAAAACACAGACCTCTCGGTTCCCCAGGGCCAAGAGAGCCGGAGGAGCCCCGCCTCGAACCGTCACGTGGCCAGAATCGCCCTTGGCACGTGACCCACCTCGCGCTAGGCCAATCAGCCTCTGCAGGGGCGGGGACGCGGAGTCCGAGGGGCGGGAGGATCGATCGAACCTGCCTCTTCTCGCGAGCCTTGATGCTGTCGCTCCTCAGCCGCCCACGGCCCGGAGCGAAGGTCTCGCGAGGCTTGGGCGCTGCGGCGGTAGGAGGAGGACGGGGAAGGACGGAGCCCTGCCACGGCTGCCTCCCTCGCTCTCTCCCTCGCGCACTCGCCCGCCCCCTCCCTCCCTCCCCTCCCTTCCCCGGCCCCGGCTCCGGCCCCGGCCCATTCGCTGTTCCGTCTTCTGCAGGGAGGATGTCGGGCTCGTCGCTCCCCAGTGCCCTGGCCCTCTCGCTGTTGCTGGTTTCTGGCTCCCTCCTCCCAGGGCCAGGCGCCGCTCAGAACGGTAAGCGGGGCGCCGGGGGCCGGCCGGGCGGGGGCTGAGGGACGGTGGCGGCCGGAGAGGGCATTTCGGGGCCGGAGGAGGTGGCGGAGTTCGGGGAAGGGGGCTCGTCGGAGTCTGAGGTGCTGCGGGCCCGACAGGACCAAATGCCGGTCGCGAGTTCGAAGAGGCGCGCGGGTGTGAGAACCGGAGGCGCCTGTCCGAGAGGTGGGGGCGTCCGATAAGAGCTTGAGGTGTTGCTGATTTAGAGTCTCCGTATCTTGGGGCTTGTCGCTCCGAGTCGGGGAGGGGTCCCCGAAGAAGCCGACCTGAGGAGCTGGAGTAGCGGGGGCGGATAAGGAAGGGGTGCAGCGTTTATAGAAGGCTGCACAAGACAAACATTTGTGTTTAAGGTGACAGAGTGGTATCAGGCTCCACAGATGAACCGGGGTCCCGGGCGCTGGGGTCGTCCAAGGTTCTTCTGGGGCCCTGTAAGACTGGTGACATCCTTAAAAAAAATATGAGACGTTGGGGGAAGGGAGTCCTGAAGAACACTGAGGAGAGTACTAGAGCCCTAAGGAGGGGGTAAGGAATCCGGGAGCCTTGGCTGTGGAGGTGGAGGGAAGGTGGGTGGCAAGCCGAGGTAGTGGGTTGACTGCAGTAGGGGATCTGGAAAGAGGAGCAGCAGAAGCTCTAAACGAAGTGGGGGAAGAGGGCTGGGTTTGCTGAGGAGGGTGGAGTGTTGGGCATTCTAGGGTAGTGGTTGGGAGAGCAAAAAGGAGTTTCTAAATAAGGAGAGGAGAAACGAGCAGAGGATGGGGAGAAAGGGTTGAAACTGGGGTAGGGGGAATTATTTGTTAGAGAAATAAGGGTGCCTGACTATAGAAATGGAAGTGGGGGAAGACAGAAAATAAGGGAAGGGAGTAAAATGCAGGAAGCCGGGGGTGTAATGTTGGTTTGCAGTGTGGAGGATATATTAGGGAAGGGAGGAGCTGAGTTTTGGCAAGTGCTGTATGATATTGGTTGGGCCTTTCACACAGCTGAAACTGCAGTGGTGGGATTGAGGGCCAGCACTGGAGAGAGGGAGATGGAGGGAAATGTGTTTTTAAGATCGAAAAGTTTCAAAAACTGAAGAGACATTATTTCTGAGGAACATAAAAGTAGTCCCTGGGATGTGTTCAGGGTACGGTGGAAAGGAGATAATTGAACTGGGTTTTGAACTGAAATTCTTTAGAGAAGATGGAGACGTGGTGGGGAAGCATGGTGATGGAGGATCTAGACAAAAAAGATTCTGATTGTTAAAGGTATGTGTTAAAATTCAGCTGCTGAATCGATCTTTTAGAGATGAGATTAGAAGTATTGTGAACAGTTTCTGCCCTTGTGGAGAGAGCCTTTAAGAGATTTCAAAAATATTTTTCTAGGAAAAAAAATTATGAGGTTGAACTCATTCATGACTTTACTGGAGAGTGAACTGTAAATTCTTTTTGCTAATTCCTTGTTGTTTCTTTGTTGTTATGCTAGAACAGTTTAAAATTGCTCTTGTTGGAAGAGCTGAAATTAAAATGGCTTTCGTTAAAAAATAAAATCATTGATAAAGCTAATGGAGTTAACCATTCTAAGGAGAATGCAGGCTTAAAATGCTGAAGGTTACAATGAAAATATATTACTAAAGATCAAAAAAGCATCAGTTAAATGTAAGTGTTTGTTGCACCAAATCATACAAATAAAATCTTATGTATGCTTCATGGCTTCCAATGATCACTGCAGGGGTCAGGAAGGAAACATTTTTTCTATTTCTAGCATTGAATATGTGAAGCATATTGGGTATTTTCCCTGTTTTCCTTCAAAGCATGAGGCCACTGTGGAAGGCAAGGTAGAGTTATTCTGATTTGTCTTATCAGTTTTTAGTCTGTGTTAACAATAATTTCAGCTATTCAATTTGTGGGAAAAGCAAGGTTTCATTAGGCACAATAGCTGAGAGATTTTTTATCTTAACATGTTTAATCTCTGTACTGGCACACAGCTTCTTAGAAAATTTATAATACAGTGAAATTGTAGTTTCTTAGCAACTAAAGCAAGGCTTTTGCATAGGCCTACAAAGACTCATCTGGTTATTCTCAGTGATATGTGTTCTAAATACAGCATAGTGCAGCCTTTTCCTTGAAATGAGCTTGAATTCAGTCACGTGACTGGTGAAGTGAAGCCGAGCGTGTAGTTGACCCAAATGAATGTAAATTTAATTCAAGAAAAGAAAGGCTGTTTTTTGAGTTTGAGTCCATATAGGTAAGGATGCCATTTTATAGCTTGTTATGACATGTCTATAAGATTAAAGTTTTCTGTTGGTAATAGCTCTTCAGTAGTCTGACCTCATGTCTTGGGGTTCGTATTTTCTTATAGTGTTTCAGAAGTGGATACTGTATTCTAGACGATCTTGAAAAGTTGGATTATCCGTTTAAAATGATGACTTCAAAAAAGAACCTCCCCAAACCAAAGTATTTCTGGTTTAAGTATGTGGTAGTTTAGATTGAGCATAGATGTTTTTCAAAAGGTCTGTTCCATTATTCCTAAAGTGGAGAATTAAGTAGATGACCCTTAAGGTCTCCCCTAGCTGTGATCCATTACCAGAGAGATTCAGGGCTTTTCATTCAGATAGAATTTGTTTCCCATCCAGATATTTAGACTTGTAGGATCATAGTTTCAAGTAAAATGCTTATTTAAGGTGTCATTTTAAAGGAAGAAACCTGTCCTAAAAAATAAACTTCCTGTTGAGACTTTGAAAGCTTTAGACTGAAATTAAAATTGAGTTTAGTGTAAACCAGGCAGTATTATATGATGGTCAGGAGCACAGACTTTGGATCCTGATATACCTGGGTTTGAGCCCCATCTCTTGGACTGACTGACCTTGAGTAATATGCTTAATACTTCTAAGTCTCATTTTTATCATCTGTAAAATGGGGTTTATAATAACACTCCCCTAGGGATGATATGAGAATTAAATGAAACAGTCTTAAAGCACTTAGATTTCTGCCTGGCATATAATTAGTTTTGGGGAGTAAAGTTTTACTATATGTAACACTTGTTACTATATGTAACATATGTTACTATATGTAACATATGCTACATTACTATATGTAGCATAACAGTACTATATGTACTAAGGGTAGCATAACAGTACTATATGTACTGTTTGCTTACTATAGTGAGTAAATGTTAGCTATTTCCTACTATTATCCTTTAGAAATGCTATTTTTAATTACTTATTTTACTTTGTGTATATATTGAGCTTTGTTAATGCTGCTCACTGTCATCTTGAGTAAAGTTAAATAGGGCATTTGAAGGCCCCAGATTTGTGCTTTTTGCTTATGTAACTTTTTTTAGAAAAGTGACCAGCTGTGTTGCGTCTGCATTTGTAGATTCTGGTGAGGAAGTTCATATTTCCATTTCATTGTCTGGGATATTTCATGTTTTTGTTTCATTTCAGTGAACTGAATATCTTGTTGTGAATAAGAGAAATAAGAATGTAGTGCCTGGACCACAGTAAAGTGTTGGAGGTGTTAGCTGATGAGTGCATGTGAAGTGTAAAAATGTAATATATTTATATTGAAAATATAAAAATAGATAATTAACACTGTTTAATGGGAGAAAATGAATCTAATGAATTTTATTATTAATGATCTAAATTTTAAGAAACCGTTTTGCTTGGATGATACTAGATAGTTGTGAACATTGTGCTTTGTAAAAATGCCAGTATTTGCATGAGATGATTCATGACTCTTTTTCTTTTCTGTCGAGTGCTGTTTGCTTCAGTGGTTTGGCAGTTTTCTCTCCTTGAGTATGTTTTTAGACATTTGCTGTTGATTGTGCATCTCTCCTTTGCGTGAACTAAAATGAGCAATGGAAGGCATGGTATCTATGGCAGCTGTGGCACAAATGACATGCCAAATATCAAGCAACAAATCTTAACGTAATTAGTCCAAAAAAAGATTTTAAATGACCAGAAGAAATTGTTTGCCTTGAAATTCATTAGCATTTCCTAAGGAGATCATAAGCGTCCAGACTCTCATGCAACTGACAACAGTGTCACTACTGATGTAATGAAGCACCCAGGCACGAGAAACTGGTCAGGGGACCAGGATGGAAAGGCCATGTTACAACATCAGGATCTGTTTCTGGGCTGTTAGTCTTTGCTTTTCAGGGTTCCTGGATTCAAATTAGAAAAGAGATGCAGGTAGGTTTTTGTGTTGCCTGACATAACAGAGCTTACCCTGTTAGTATATCATGGTTTAAAACAACAAAAGACAATAAAAGCTTTTACATGTAAATGCGCCCCACAGTCCAGACATTTGGCATAAATTAAGATTGAAGTTCATTACAGGTCTGATTTTGTGTGAGTCATACAGATCCTCATGAAAAATTAGACTGTTTTGTCTTAAAGTAATTCCTTGATTTTTCTCATTAATACAATTTTGATGGGAAACATTTTCTCCTGTGGAGTGTACATTTAGACATTAATAAAAGGCAAAATGTCATTGTGTTGTCTTTATTCATATTTTTAAAATAAATATTTAACGGGGCTGCAAAGATAACCAGATATGAGTAGAAAAGTGCTCTGGCAGTTTGGACATTGTTTTTCATTTATTTAGTTTGAGCTGTTTTTTCAAAGTTAAGATATTTCATATTTAAAATCTGAAATTTTTGCTGGATCTATGTAAAGGTGTTTTTACAAGACAATTTGGGAAGAAGATAAGGTGTTCATATCTGTACAAATGAAGCATGTAGAAAAATGATTGGGATATCACACAGGAGATGTTCAATGAAAGCTTGAATAAAATTTTGCGAAGAAATTTGGGAAAAGAGAACTCTGTGAAAAAGTGTCTGAGGCAGTCTCTTATACTGTTTACAGTGAGCACATTCTGGACAGGATCAAAGGTAAAGAATGAAGTTCTGAGAGAAAAAGAAGAAAGGCTATAGTTCTAGTACAAGGAAGAAACAGGAAGCAAGAATGAGAAATGAATCTTCCTTTG